AAGTCGGCCATTTTGTTTTGTTTGGGGAAAGTTTACCCTCGATTAGTGAGTTAATCCACCTCGCTAGGTGTGTTAAAATTAACCTTTATTTAACCCAGGGATAGCGCTAATCGCGCTTTCAGGAACAGAAACTAATCGTGGGTTAGATTTTAATCTTGGGTTAGGGTGAGTTAATCGAGGGTTAGCGCTAATCGGCTTTCGAACAACCGGGGCCAGGGTGGTATGTTAACACACTTAAGGTGCCACCAATTCATTGCAGTGGTGACATTGTACATAGGCGTCACCATCGTTTGGCATCCTGCATGCACAGTAAATTGGTACCACAGCTTTTGATACAGAAAGGTGCCTTTGCACCCTTCTGTCTGTTGTTGGAAATGGCATCATCTTGTGATCTTCTAAGCATGCAATAAAGTGGCTTCTTAGAAGGGCAGGAGCATATGTAATTTCTTGTGGGTCATTTCCAAAGAAGAGTGAGGTAGCAAAAGCAATGGCAAATAAACCACAGTCACTGACTCCTTGTTGTCGTTGAACTTCCTGGTTTGAGACTGTAACCCTTTTACCATCATGAAACAGCATTTGGCACAGCTACTCGTTTCCATAGCTGAGACCGCCCTCGAGGTTTAGTGTCTTTGATTTCTTTTCTATCGGCGAAAATAAACCTTAAAGCGACAGAACTATGCTGCATGTGATGTTTACTAAGCCAGATGTTTTCTCTTAACTCAAACCACAGACTTAAAATTTGTTCACAGCAAGAACAGGGACCGTTCGGAGTCGTAAATCGTCGGTAGTTCGGCGCTAATTATATTCCAGTCATTTAATTTCATTCCCAGGCACCTCACGTGCAAGGGCACTTTGAGCTATGGAAACAGAGCAAACCGTTGTACAGTACCGTTAAACTTATGTCCTCTTGTTGTAGATATGTCCTCTGACGTTATATGTGATACAATGGCCAATCACATCCTGTGATCTATAGAGCGACACGCGGCTTGGGACTGGTTAAGAGACTCCGTTGCAGTTATGTCTAGGCTTTTCTACATTATGCTAGCATTTTTTCGAGCATTTTAGTGAGGTAAAAGCATTGAGCATTATTCGAGCATTTAAGTGGCATTTTCCCGGAAAATTAATCTTTTGCAAGAAAATAAAATAGAAATTAACCTCTTTCAGTCCCGCTTTTAATTCAGGAAAAAACCTAATACAGCTGAGTGGAGACTGAGGACAAGTCAGCGGTTTTACCTTTCAAGACTCAAAATGCGGCCATGTTTATTTTCTTCGTGACCAGTGTAACGCCTTCGTTTGCTCTGTGTCATTGATGTCATCTCAGTCTCAGTCAGCTAACAATCCTGACAAGGCTGACCCGCCACCGGTACAAAGACAAAGACAAGTATAATTGATGCCTTGAAAGCCCCGACTGCTTCAGACTTGGCTAGGAAACGAAAGGTTCCATGTAATTTACAGCACAGTGGAAAGCGTTTTGTGCATCCAAAGGGAACCAGCAACTCTAACGTGAGTATTCGTCAGCGTTTAACGGAATTTCCAGAAGAAAACTTCAAGGAATCTGCAGGTACGTTATTTTGTACTGGTTGTAGAGAGAAGGTTGGGCTAGAGAAGACAATTATTCAGCAGCACATAAAATCATCGAAACATAGCAGGGGGAAAGAGAGATTAGCAGTTAAAGAGAGCAGGGAACAGGATATTGCAAATGTGCTCAGCATATGACAACGAAAATCATCAAAAGGGTGAAACCCAGAGTATGACCCAACGACTGTTTATAGCATGAGGGGACGCAAATCGTCTGCACTGCAAGTATCCCGGAAAGTCCCATACATTTTCTTAGACTAAAAGTCTAAGAAAATGTATGGGGCTTTTTGAGCGCTCCAGGTAGCTTTCCTGTAAGGCGTCATAATCTTGTTGCTGCTGACATCGATGTGACAGATAATTNCATTGAGGTGAGAAAATAGAAAGTTCCCCCTCAGATTTCTCGTATTTCCTTCGGTGAAATTCCTTAAAATTTGGCAGAGATGTTATACCCTTTTAGCTTTCCTTGCTGTGAATTTATCAGAAAAATTTGTAAGACAAGTTTTTCGCTCAGCCAAAAAACAACAAAAATGTTAAAAGCGAAAAAACTACCTTGACAACCCCTATTTTTTTCGATTTTAAAAGTTTCGTCTTGTCAGACTCTACCCGGTCGGAGAATAATAGAAAATTTTACCGAAGGAAATTGAAGAAAATTGAAATCAAAGTCAAACAGACGTCAAAAAATGGCGATATTTGAGTAGTTTTAATTTGGGACTAAAAGCCTTGACTTCAGAGGTGACTGTTGTACAGCAAATTTAGGCCCTTGTTTTTTATGTTTCAGTAGCTTTGATTTGAAAAATAGCAAAAACAACGAGAAAAATTAACTTTCGATTGATGTCACTGGCGCGCGCTTCGTGATCTTGCATAACCCTATTGAGCCACCTTAAATGCAGATCAATCAAATATTTTTTCATGCGCACAGCCTGTCACAAACGTCAATAATTCGCAACCGTACATTGGCTAAATAATATGTTATGTCTGTCATAATTGAAACGTCACTGCTTTCCCGATCTGCCTAACTTCGCGGCCGTCAAACCATTCAAAATTTTTACCTGAGTACTATCCATCCGGGTATTTTCCGCGGACGGGCACTACGGGCTGATAGTGTCTTTCCACGGATGAAAGCTATCGCGTCACGTTATCAACTGAAATCAATAAGAATCGGAGAAAATTTAGTGGTGAACTATAAAACCTGATAAAACATTCTATTAGGCGACGCGTTCTATAGTCATTTATGTCAGTTATAGGATGAAATAGAGAAAGTAGCTGAACTCAATAAGTCTACCGGCTGCACCCGGTAGACTTTCTAAATAATTGTTTTCGTGCTCTTTATACTGTCTTATTTTTTCCGATGCTTTATTTTACTTACAATCAGTAGTTAGGGAGCTGCGTGTGGCAAGAGTTTATTCGCATATGTATTTTCCAAATAATTACACTACCATTGCTTGATCTTCGCGTTGCAATTTATAGCTTCAGCGAAATAATTATGCTTTGAACTTCGATCACTCCATTGGACACGTAAGTTTCGATGGCAGAGAACAAAATGTTAGGATCTGTTTACATGACGGTGGGGAACCCCTGGAAGGCGTTGTGACCCGCCTAACTGTGGGCGAAAAATAACCCGCGTTTACTTACAACCTTATAATTGCGAGATTCCGGAGTGAAATTTCTCGAGGTTGTCGTACGTTGCGCTTGTAATTAGGGAGTTTAAGAGGTCACTGCGGTAACGTGTGGTGAGAGGTAGGCGAAAAAACGGAATTCATTTTCCTCTAAGATTTTCGCCTGTAGCTCGATGGGTTAACCGTTTCTGACGATACGACGCCTTCACTGCGGCATAACAAGTGAATGCAGTTTGAGTTCAGGACAAAAGCGTGACTTAATTGCTGTCGAGGTTTCATTGCTTGGAGGACGTAAAAGTTGTTGTTTTAACCTTTTAGTTTTGTATGGTACGGAAATGTACAAGGTTTTTAAACTCGCGCGTTTCGCTAAAACTTTGCTCATTTGATCTTTTGTAACATAAACGCAACCCCGGCTTACCCACCTTGAGACGTTTACACGGCAAATTGTTACCTCAGCTGAGAAGGTTACCCTGCCCGGCAGACCGGGCAGCCCGCCTAAGCGGGTCATCCCGTACTTACCGTTTAAACATGATCAAGAAAAAATCATGAAAAGATTTATCGTATAACCAGTTCGGCCCCGCTCGCGCAATCCCATAGCAAAACATAATAGAAGCTGACGTGTGTAGGGTCGGACGGGTTGACATGAGCCGGTCCGAAGAAAGCCGTCCTTGGTGCCCTCACGTCGCTTTGCTGCAAAAACTTGAATAAAACATAACGAGAAAAAAATCATGTTTTTCATTGAAGGAATTGGGAATTTCTTGTTGTGACTCGAAAAAAATGGGCAGGTTACCTCCACTGGGGTCCCCCACTACTATGTAAACACAGACCCTTGGTTCTTTGTAACCATTTAGGACAAACGATTAGAACGTGTTTATAATCTTTTGTAAAAGAAGAACCTAAACGTTAGTTTGATGAAAATGGGTGAACTATATTTTTAGTGGCCGGTTATACCTTTTTATTGAGATTGATCAGAGATTTATATGCGAAAACCTTAACGCGTATGTTGTTTTAATAGATTGAATTACGATTAGAAGATATCGAAGCAAGTCAGCCCGATTCAAGAACACTTACACAACCTCCTGCAGATTACATGGATCTCAGGGAGGCTAGCAGAGATAACAGAAAAGCACCAAGTGCCGCTCCAGGTGCTGATTACGCGCCTCTTTATCAATTAACACACTCCTGGGAAGTTCCAAGAGATCACGTGACCATAGAAAAGATCATTGGTAAAGGTTCTTTTGGTCAGGTTGCCAAAGGAACAGCAGTAGGACTTCGAGGGAGGCCTGAAACGACTACAGTGGCT